CAGTCACACACAAACACACATACTTGCATGCAGTGATTTGGCCCTTCTCCTTGCAATGAAAAGACCCATAGCATGACTTTTAGTAACACAGCAAACCAAGGTGAGCTTGAGTTTGAAAGCATGAAAATTGGGTTCATTTGTGAAATTAATTAAGTTTAAAACATGATGTCTGTCTGCAAAGCAGTTTCTTTGACTCTTGTTTTTTAATCCAGTGTCCACTAAAAACATGCTTCTTCAAAGCAGGTGGAACTACTAAGTCATTTGTTGGAGGAGGCATGGAGTGTATCAGCAACAGCACACAGCTGATTCAGGCTGCCAAGATATAACTAAAATGAGTAAGAGTCCAGATGTGAGTGTGTCACTACAGTAAACAGAACTGATACTTGGCGGCTCAGCACTTGCTATATACTCCAAAGGAATCTTCACTTTTTCTTGCTTTGCTGTCACTGCGGTAATAAAGGGGCCGTACTGTAAAGGATAGTCACAGTTAATGGCAGCTGTCCAAAACAACTTCGCAGTAGGGGTGTAATAAGTTTGGGTTCAGTCTGAGTTTAATATTAAGTGAAGTCAGCGAATGTGCTACTGAATACACATTCACATACAGACACACACACACACACATAGGGAAAGGCTCAGTTCACAGCACACTGAACGTGCCAGACGGATATTTTTGACAAAGATGCCATCGCACATCATCCATTAGCCGTTTAAGAAGGAGGGCCTTGTGGTCACTGAGGGTCACCAAAATTTAAGATACTGCTGCTAGTGTAACTGCTGTATTGACTGTTTGCAAATTTAGTTCCAATCAGCTTCAAAATCATGCCTGCACTTCCTCTGGTTGCCAGCAATCCACAGCCTGAATTTGCAGACTGTATGAAAAGCTTTCTTTGGATAATTGGATACTTCATTGCTCAAAATGCAAACAGTCTGAAAGGTCTCAGGGAGCCTAAAGATTCAGATACTGTATAACTGCTTTAAAGGCCCTGCCTTACTCACATCTTTCCAAAATGGTGACTTTGAAACTAAACTGGTCCTTTGAGAAGAGTTTATATGACAACAGCAGTAAAAACTGCACTAAGCAGAAAATCAACCCCTTTGTTATTTTGTCACACCTGCTTGCACTCAATTATGTGTCAGTGACACATAATTGAGTGCGAGTTATTGTTGAATTTGTGATCTACACTAACACACAATCATTTAAGGATGTGGCATCAGTCACTGACTGATCAAACAAATCTAGTAACTGTTACATAATTACTGGATTTGTTTGTATCACACCCAGCAAATTAAACCGAACTGAATATCCCTCATAAAACATTGAGTGTTTTTCAGAAGCAGTGATACAAAACTGTTGTAGTGTGCTGTCATTTGAACATGGCAGCATCGACAAGAGAAAAATCACTGCACTTCATCTGTCTTTTTTCTCCTTACATTTAAGTGCACTCTTCTGTGGCTTAACATGGCCAAACATAAGCGTCAGCACTAAAAGCTCCAGCTACTGATCCAGGCCGAGGTGATTGATCACCCTTTTTCTGTACTCACAGCAATACTGAACATTTTTTCTTGCCTTTAGGCCAACTATTAATACAAACTGATGGAAATAAAGTTTTGTGAGGCTGAAGAATAAGAGAGAAAAGACTGTTGCTTATATTGTTATTGTTATTGTGCATTGGATGTTTCTTTAAGTGGCATGTATTTTTATGCATTTTCAAAGGCAGGTGGAAGTAATATGTAAGAAAAGACCCTCAGCTCAAAGTCTGTTAGAGAGTAGTAGATGTGGCTATACTGAAACAAAGTCTAAGCAGCCCACAGTTGTACTTGAATAAATGTAAGCCATAGACTCAGAATTGCAGCAGATCTCACACTTCATAAGATGGAAGCAAAGAAAGCTGGCAAAAGTTCTTAGTTTATAGAAATACCTATTGTGGTACTGTAGTATAGTACTCAAAATCTCTATTTGCTTGCCTATGAACAAACAACACGTTCTCACTCCCAAACCGTAACATTTTACGCTAGGTGACAAATCGTCAACATATTACTTCGGCTACCCACCACGTTCCTAAATGACGACCTCGGAAAAAAAATGAGGAAATATGAGAACCGTATGGACTCAATCTACACATGTTCGCTCTTTTTCTTCAAATCGCTTAGAAACACGCTATTTAACATCATTGAAGTTCTGGTTAAGATCAGGAAAAAGGTTATGGTTAGGGCTAGGGATAAGGTTAGGTTTAGGGCTGGAATACAGGGCTGGAACATCTATTACCGAGGGAGCATCATTGCACTGGATTTTAGCCATAAGAACGCCGAAGGTCTCCTTTTGCGTTCCTCAGGAACGCCGCGGGACGTGACAAAACGTCGGCATGTTGCGCCTCGGGAGTGAGAACGGGCTGCAACAAACAATCAAGAGTCGAGGTACTGTAAATAAATACCATAAAGTGGCGTTAGTACTTTGAAAACATAGTACAGTACTTGGTCATTCTTTCATAAGAATACCAACCAACATAAATAAATAAATAAAGGTTTATCCATATGGTGTTTACCCAGGCAGCGTGTCATGTGATTATATTACATATGACTGGTAACTACACCACGCACCGTGACATTATGTGTTATATCACCAGTTTACATATGAACGCAGCAGCCAGTAGGCGGTAGGCCTTTTTTGGATGATTTTATTTTCAGAGAACTACTCATAACGATTAATCACTACAGCGCAATGCTGTTGGATTATATCTGATCTGAGGAAATTACGTCTGCATTGTGTTCAAGCATGAATGAACTGAATCTGGTCTTAAAATCTGGCACATGTGAGGGCATCCAATTTTAATACAGTGTACTGATGAAAGGTCATTTCAGTTTTTGCTCATTTGCAAAGTGAAAATATTTAGGGCTGCGTGTATGCTCATCAATCTTGCCACATGATCATCATTCAGCCTCTTTCCCGGTGAAGCATTTGTCTGTCATGGCAGTTGTGTTGTGTCTAAAGCATTCTTCCAAATAAAAGGACTTTTCCATTCATCAACAAACAAAATGATGCTATTTTTTGAAATTGTCAGCATTTTGTACGAATGCATTATCTAAACATGGGTGCTTAGGTTTGCAGGAAAGTCGCATGTATGCATTTTCTTACAAAGTGTGCACAGATGAACTCAAATCCCCCCTCATTCTGTATCAGTTATTCATCGCTGAAGCAAAATGTAATCTGGTCAGCTGGAGGGCACATGGATGTCAGAGTTTCCCTCTGATATAGAGTCCTATCCCTATACTAAACTCCGTGCAGACATGTGACACCTAAAGCCTCCTGCGTAACAGTAAATAATCCTACCATCGTTAAAGCCATCCAGATTAAAGAAAATCCCTCATGAATCGACTTTTTGTTGAAGTTTCCATAACCATACTAATGACAATATTGTGATTCTCCGCACGTTTTCTCATCAGGACAAGAATTCGAATAGACCACAAAATGTTGTGGTTGTTACACATAGAGTAGACTCAGCTGCACATCCATCACACTGTAGTAAAACTGCTATGGGCAATGGCAGCGATGGAGTTTCAGCCATAAAAACAAATCCATAAAAAATATGTATTTGTAATTTGGTGGATTAAGGAGCGAATGACCTCTGCAGCCCGTTAAGTCTAAGCTGTGGAATCCCGACCCGTCTGTTAGACAACATAA